CTTTCTTTCTTTCTTTCTTTCTTTCTTTCTTTCTTTCTTTCTTTCTTTCTTTCTTTCTTTCTTTCTTTCTTTCTTTCTTTCTTTCCTATAAAACATTTCAGCAGTAACATAGGTAGGACATCGTGACTATGAATGTCAGTGGAGAGGTGGAGAGGTGAATGGTCTCCAGCTTTTGAGGAGATGAAGACTGATCATTTGTGGTGCTGGACAGAAGTGGACAGAGAGAAACAATCTGCCTCAGTGGCAGGTTCTTCAACAATGAGAAATTTTGGTCTATCTATTTCGAATCCATATTAATTTCTTTAACACTACACACTTGTATGGATTTTTTCAGCTTTTAAATGAAAATTGGTAAGAATAATCAGAATCAGAATGCTTTATTAATCCCTGCGGAAATTATGTGGCCACAGTAGCTCCAAGACAGTAAGAACAGTAACTAACTAAACTAAATTAAATAATACAGTATATTACAAAATTACAAAATATAACAAAAAAGATTTAAAAGATACAAATGGCTCAGTTATGAATATCCCAGTATATAGCATTAAGACTGGGACTGAATTACAGAAGGATTCTGTATCTGAGGTTGCTGCTTTAAAGTCACAGTAGCCAAAATCTGTTAGAACAAAAGCTTTACAACATAAAAGATTTTAAGAGTGCATCCATGGTGCTTCTATTCTATCCTACAGAAAGACAAAGCTAAACTCTTTTAATCTCTAACCTTTGCTTCCATAAGGCACAACACAACAAAGCAACCATAGAAAACAAAACATTGCATAAATCCAAATTTGAATATAAACCCTGACATGCCACAGACGAAAATGTCATAGACACAACAAAACTGCAACACAAATGTGGGCTAAGCAGGCGTCAAACATCCAACTGATCAAACTTACATAATATCACTAATATGATGTCACAGATCAGGGGCACACAACCCTGCAGAGAAGCATTCACCAGGAGCTCACAAACCAGCCAGCAGTGAAACTACATCACTATTATGTCACAGAGCAGAGGGTGTAATGAGCTGCTGATTTAACTGCAGGACCAGTATTGTGTCACTGTGAAGTTGCTGCAGACAAGAGAGTCTGCTGTACACACTCTTGACTAAGTGAACATCTGTCCTAAATGCAGGATAGCAATTCATGACACGTGTAAATAGAAATCAGCCACCAGTCCTTGTGATCTTGAGTGGTGCTAATTCCCTCTTCTTTTGACTGCAGTTTTACAGCTTGAAAAAGCCCTTATCTGTTACCTGGTGCACATGTTTCTGAGCTTTGTAATGGCCCAAATAAAAGCGCAGGAACAATCAATGAACAGCATCTATGTGAGGAAAAACAACACTGTTAGGCAGATGAGACAGGCCATTGAAACTACAAGAAGTGCTGAAGAAGAACTGCAGAATGCACCATCCCGATGATTAGTAAACAAACATGGTTACGCAATGCTTCAAACTAGAATTTAAACAGTAAAATACAAACACTGAAAGTATTACAACATTTTCTTTTGTTCAGCAGCCTTTAGGCAAATCCACCCTGAAAAGGTTGCATGCTAACCCTGGCTGAAGCACTGACCATGAGCCAAGGCATACAGCACTGGTGGTCTGTTGTTTTATTGTAAACTGATACTGCCTGGGTGTATAAACTTGTCATGTGCTGGAAGCTTCCCATTGTTTTCTCAGAGTCAGCTGTAGGCAGACAGAGTGAAGTTAACCTCCCTATCACCTCAACACCCCCATGTTTCACATATATGTCTTCAGGTGGAGAGTAATAATAATAATAATAATAATAATAATAATAATAATAATAATAATAATAATAATAATACAATGATATATTTCCATTCAAACCATCACATTACAAGTTAAGCATCTATTTTCACAGCAGCAGTTAAATAATACGGTTAAAAACGACGTGAAATTGCTTATCATAATTCCGGCTGTACTGTTTGTAAAGAATGCGCACGACATTTCTATTACCCCTAGTGAGGATGTTAGAGGCGTTTTATAGAGCAATAAAAGCCGTAAATCAGTCACTTTTAAACGACCCCTGGTTCCTAACGTGTTTTACAGGGTCTGACACAGTAGTAGCCGCACACTGCACGTTCTCTGTGGCCTACCTACACAATCTGTGGCTGTCTGAGCTATGAATACACTTTGTGACAGCGTTATTGCACTGCCAGAGCCCGTGGATGGGGTGGATGCAGGCTGTATGTATCATCGTTGATGCTTGTATATGCAAAAGCAGGAAGAAAAAAATGCCAGAGAGACGTGAAGGGAAGCAGATGCAGAACAATTCATCGACTGGCGTGGTATTTCAGTTGCCCATGTATTCCTGTAGAGACGTATTTGCGACTGCTTGTACTTCACACAAATTCGGTTCTACAGGGTATACATATAGACAACTAATGTGTTTTGGGTTAGACACTGTAAAAGGTCATCTGCCGGGCAAATATCTGTGGCAAGCAGGTTATCGTGCATTTCACAGTCGTGTCACAAGAAG